CTTATTTATTTAAATCAAAGTATTCATAGTACTTCTGAGAGCTCGGAACTCTTTGAAGGAAATGTTTTCAATCGTCATCATCTTATTGGATTCTTCTTGTTTCTTCCTTGTCGGACTATAGTTTACTAAGTGTATTGTGGGTGGAAGAGCCACACGGGGAACATTTAATGGTGTTGCATTCTTTATTAAATGTCGAGGAGCTTCCACATTTTAGACAGAGTGAGTTTTAAGCTTTGCAGAAAAGCCAAAGTGACTACAATTACAGTATTGTCGCAAAGTCGGTTTAAAAAAGCTGACTTGTAGTGTAGTGACATCAGTCAAAATTAAAGCTTCTTGTGTTTAGTTGTTTATTTTAAAGTCTTTATTTATATCTTTGCTTATTAATTCTTGCTTATATTCTAAGTTACTTCTGACCAAACTGAGGTATGGTCAGTATCTTATATAATAAATAATTTAATGCTAACTTAAGCAATTAATACAATTAAAGTACGTTATTACTAGAATTACGACTAATGCGGGTTACAACTAAATTAGGTTAGGTGTCACATTATGTTGAAATGTAAATCGCGGTAGAGTGCGACAGATCGACAATGCTACAGTAGAAGGCAATAGTTGAAGCACATAGTTTTTCGAATTGATTTACCTTTAAAGGCGACTTTAATAGCCTTGGTTGGGGCATGTGTCGTATTGTTGTCATAGGATTTGCGATACAACCTCGTTACTGAACGGATCGGAATCGATGAGGAAGTCACACACACCTTCCCACAGTCTTCTATTTTCCTTTTTTTTTTCTTTGTTTCTAAGATATCAATATACATTATTGCCATAAGGCAGTTTTTTTGTTTTTTTTTCTCTCTAAAACCTGTTCGACATTCCATATTGCGTTATTATTTGTTTTAATGCCTACTAAAATTATTATCACACGATTACGAGGAATAAATAAAACATTTCAAATACTAAAAATTTGGGATTAAGCCTTTTTTTCTATTTCCTTGCACTTTATCTTCTTGCGACTGCTCGCTTCAGTACTTAAAACTCGACTTCTTAATGAAATTATGATTATAGTCGATGGGGGTATCCCGCAAAATGCCAAATCTTTCATTGAAAGATGTGGGAACGTAGTATACCTTTAAGTTTTTCTGTGCAGTCATTATTTTAAATAAAATTGCTAGCAATGGAATTGATAACCGCTTCTCTCGGCTGAGTGATGTTTGATTTAACCGTTTGATTTCGTAGAGATAATGTTGACCTCTTGCTTGCCATGGCTGTCGAATTAAAAAGAAGCTTGGCCTACCATTGCTAATCGTTTTCTCATGACTTTTACACCAGCTAAATTAAAATTCTTAACGTGTTCGTAAAAAGCTAGATCAGAGGAGATCGTTGATTGTCGCTATTCGGGCATGTTTCAATGAAAACTTACTTATTACGCGACATTTTAGGATCAAATAGATTCTTCTTCTATGGTGTTTGGTTATCGAACCGGGGAGAGAGGAGGAGTTTGAATCAGGCATCTCAATTTGATGATCACTGGCAGCGAACGGAAAAGTGTTGTTTTGACCTTCGAAATGATGTTTGAGTTGAGCTTTTTCAGTGGCATATAAAGGGGAAGGAAGAATTTTTTTTAGAACAAGCGAATGTTTCCACACAGGGTTATCAGGTTATAAATTCTTGCTTGTTGCTGCTTTCTTTTTTGCACAATTAAATTTTCTTTGGTTTGTTGATATTTCATTTTTTTTAATATTTCGTTTTCGCTCAGTTGTTTGCAAGTAAACCATTTTGCTTGAAGTTTATTTTGTTTTCAATCTACAGCTGTTTTCTTTTACAACCAATACTAGCTCAGTGCAACCAATACTAATGTTAAACGCAAGCTGTTTTGCTTTCGCGTAATTCAGCAAGTATGGGAGAATTTAAAATACATTGCTAAGAAATATTTAATATTTTTCCGGAAATCCCAAATCTAGTATATTCCAACTAATGGATTGTAATTTGATATTTTTAAAGGGCATCATTAAATTTTATTTTGATTCTTTTCATTTTTGTTTGCTTTTTTTTGATACACTTCATGCAAGTGATGTCTATGTGATACACTTGCTCACGCTGCATGACTATGGCGACCGCGTCACTGCCTATGACGTAGGTAGCTTTTGGAAGGGCATGTAGAGAAAGAAAGAGTCTACTACTACTCCTCGGAGACATTAGAAAAAATTATGGAATTGTACCTAGGCAAATTAGTTGCCATCTCTCTAATTGAATGCGCACTAAAAGTTTGCTGCCCATAAAACGATGCCTTGGCAGGCATTATTGAGCTAGGGTCTAGGGCTAGGGTGAAAATAATCATTACGGGGGCTCCCAAGGCTGGCCTCCTTATCCATTCTACATTTTTGCGACGTGCGTTAAAGTCATGCTTACGAGCTAAACATGCAGGGGCGTAAGACTATTGCATTGCGCACATTCACATTCCGTGTGTCTTCGAGCATCGTGGCCTTAAGCCTTCAAGGTGGTGCATCCACATTAAACTCTTCTAGAGACATCTGTATATACAGCTAGAAATATCTTGTATATGCACACACTTGTATATGGACTTACGCTTCTTTATGTCATTATTATAAACCTGAGCAATCAATACCTGAAAACAATAAAGACCATTCCAAATAGTTTAATAAATTGATGTAATCTTCTCTGATTTGCGACTATACTTTCCTTCGATATATCTTTCGATACCGGTTGCATTCTAGAAAGCAATTAAAAGCCTATTTAGTAATGTAATTATATTGAAAAGGTTTTTTAGGTAAATCAACATAGATTGAGTAAATTTTACTAATTAATCCGCTGTATTTATTTCAATTTATAAAAAAAAAAAAAAATTTTATTAAATTAAATTTTCTTAGAAAAATTAATTTAAAAAAATATAAATTATAATAATATATAGTAATGTTGTGAAAGAATATTGAAATAATTGAAAAATTATTATATTATAAGAAAATTTGGTTTATTGTATATTTGGTATCAGGACTTATTAAATAGATTTGAATTATTTAAAAATCGCGAATTTTAAAAAGTTAATAAATTATTAACGTTGATGTAATAAAACTACTAGTTGATAAAAATTTATTAGAAATGACATGTTATTCGTTTTTAAAGGTATTTAGTGTTTTAAGAAGTTAGTTTAGTAATAAGAGTAATTTTACAATTTGTGGGATTAGCTATAAAGTAAATAGTTAAAAGTGAAATTGTTAATAAAAAAATGTAATCTTAGAATTAACTAAAGTGTTATAATTCCTATAATTAATAGTTTATTTATTGAATTTTAATTATTTATTAAAATCTCTTATTTTATTTATTTCCTATATATCTATCTATTTTATTTATATAATTAAAGTAATAATGATAAAATTAGTATAATTATTTGTACAAATAAAAAAAATTGATAAGTTCGGCAAAAATTTTATTAATTACTTAAAAAAAAAAAGCGTGCTTTTAAATTTATTTAAAGTTTGGCCTACTGTATGATTGATTTAATGGCCAAAGTATATTGATTGTGCAAAAGTATCGTAGTAGTAAATTCATAAATGTGTTTTTTAGGTATGGATATATCTTTATTGAACCCGTACATAAGACACTCTTAGAGTATTTACATGTTCTTAGAATATTGTAGTGTGATCCCATATCCAAAGAATTATGCCAAAATAAAAATGAACCATGGAATTGTGAAAGAAAATCAAGCACAAATTCCGCCCTTCAAAAGTATTGAACTACAATTCGGGAAAGCGCATTGAACAACACAAATAAAGAATGCAATTATGACAGCCGACTATATTACTTTTGTCTTTTGTGTTAATAAAAATAAAATTATTTTGTGAACTTTTATGTTAAGTAATTTTAGGCGAAACTATGAATAAGGAAATAGTATATAAACCAGAGATATTTGTGAATAAACTCTTATTCTTGATATCATCTTTACCCGCGTTTTTTTTTCTTTTCTTTACTGTATACTTTCCCGAATTGTCCTTTAGCAAATTCAAGAGTCTTATCGCGTTTCGAAGCCGAGCATGTTGAGACAAAGCATAATTTTCTTAAGTCCATATAACGGTTGCCAAAAACAAAACAAAGCAATAGGTGAACAAATTAAACGTCAACTATTAAATCTTTACCATAAGCTATATGTTGATATTGAATTACTTCCCAACTCAATGGTAACGCGCAGAAATAAGTATAATGCCCAAACCACATAAACTAGGAAAAGTTGTAAGACCATGTAGATCAGTTAATTCAATGGTAGCATATTTTTAAATATATGAGAAGGAGTACATCTGTAAAAATTATTTCCAGTTCTAGAGCAAAAACTTATTATTCCTGACCATCAGCTCGGTTTAGAGCAACGTCGGCGTTGGTTCGTAAATCAGATAAGCCATTGAAAGAACATGTTATTATGTTGTTACGTTCCTATTGGTATGGGAAAGCTCTTCGATCGAGTCTCGAACAACTTCAAACTTGGAATATTTCTTCAAACTCTTATGTATTTGCGACATAAATTTTATGTGCAAAACAAACATATCTATGAGAGACATAAAATTCAATATGGGTTTCCCCTAAAAAGTGTTGTAACTCCAATACTTCATACAATTTTCCGATCACTGATAATAATTGAAATGCGACATACTTGAGAACATGAGGAAAATAAAAATTTGTCTGTAACGATTGTAAAACCAATCCCTAACTTTATTACAGTTTAAAGAAAGGACCCCATCCTTACCATCGACCTTTTTTTGCTCAACACAATGAATCATCTATTGATCTTCTTCTTCTTCTTCTGTTAGTTAGCAATGGCCTAACATAGTTACCGGCTTTAACATCGGCTACTCATATCAACGCCCCGCGTAATAAGGGGCGTTGTTTCAAACCAGGAAAAAAGGAATTTTTATTGAATCCAACATTCTTGCAAGAGAGTGGATAAGATCAGCTGCCTGCACTTATTTAATTTTTGAATTATTGTTTTCCAGGGACCACGACGTGCGTCGAATAGCCAACAGACTTGACTGGTGGATTGTACCGATACTCTTCTTATCGTCAATAGGAGCGTTTGTGGCGTAAATCTAGAAGACCTGTGAGTGATGGCTGCATGGGCGTCGACTTAAATCGTAGTTTCGAATAGCTATGGGGACGTAAGCAGTTGGTTATTTTTAATCGTTGGAACATGTTTCCAATAACAGAAACTATTTAAGAATTAAAACATGATCCTTGCTCAAGTCAATATTGTGGCACACTCACCCTCTATCTGAACCAGAAGTTGAACGGTTAACAAGGTTTATTAATAGTAATATTCTGGAAGGTTCTATTAAGATTTATATAGCATTACATTCGACGCCATAAGCTGTACTTTTGCCTTGGATACATACGAGAGAACTGCCTGCGGATTACGACCGATTGATGTATGTGGCGAAGGCTTTCGCAGATGTTGTGTTTTGGCGATTTTGCACTAAATACAGATATGGAACCAGTGCAAATATTTTAAGTATGATAAATAGTTTATCTGGTGAAGCTATACCAATAGCCTTCACGATTGAATTGCCCGGTGGACGCACAAAACCAAAACAATGAAGCGATTTTACATTTGTGCTTAGAGCTTTCGGATGGTTTGGTTGGAATGATTGATGCTATTAAAGCACTTGAAATTATTTAAACGACCGTTTAAAACTGAAGAATGCACACTTTTGTGATTGGAAGACAAATAATTTAAAATAATAATTCAATGAAAAATAAATGAAGAAATGAAAGAAATGAAACTAAAATAGGAAAAAGTTGTGCATGGTTTCAACACTCTGACTTTTGTAACGTGCGCGGGTGCAGGGTGAACGGGGTCCGTCTGTCTGCTAATCATATTACTGCTTTATGAAAGATTAATATGAAATCTGCTTCTTGCTGCTTTCCATAATTCCAGTTTTGATAGATAGAATGGAAAAAAAGGTAAACACTAGCAATGTTGAGATAGGGATTGATGGAAAGAGACAGGGCGTTCGAGGTTCGTCTGTGTTCGTCAGTCAGTTCATTAATTCGGTTTTTTCTCTTTGAACGGCGAGGATGTGTAAGTTTCTTGTGGCAAGAAGCTTATGCGATTTTTGTATGAAGTGAAGGACGAACGGACAGTTTGGCCGGTAACAGACATGTAATCAATTACAGAAAAAGACAAGCAAAAACATGATCGAGCAAAATGAATACAAGTACGTATGAAAGAAAGGTTTTGTAGAATTTTTATTCAATATGAAATCTTTATGGCTATAACGCACAAATACATATAAACAGAAACTTAGTAAGGGAGTTCTAGATTAACCCTTTGACACAATTATACAAAACGGTAAATACCGTAAAAAGAAGACAAAGTAAAATATGAAATGAATGCATTTTTCGTTCCGATGTATATAGAGAGAATTAAGTGCGATAAATTGATGTAATAAATTTAGTTGGATTTATTTGCTTGCTAGTCTAAGCGAAGAATAAATTCAGCAATTTTTTCTTTATTTTTTTTATACAAAAAAAAAAAAAATAATAAAATAAATAAACTTGTAAGGTTCTTAAAAATTCAAATTATTCTTTGCGTGCTTTCTGTATAAAATGCGGCCGGACGTAAGTATGTGGCATCGTTCCTTTATTTTTAAAAAACTCCTGACCCCCCTCCTTCTTCACTTGGGTTTGTAGACGCTTTTTAATGGCTGAGTTTTATCAAACGACATTGGAGGAATACAGCTTTGCGGAAATTCATTGCGAACAAAGAAAGTGAATCCTTCAAACAGCTGTGAAAATAAAGAAGAAAAAGGGTCGTTAAGGAATGACATATGGCTGTATATCACAGGAATTTGGCGCAGTTATCCAGCAAAGTTATAATATATTTTAACCGTTGCAGATAAAACAAAATGCGTATTTGAATTATTAAAACTTGTGTGTTGGGAGGTTTAGCTGTGTTAACAGACGGAAATGCATACTTATTGAACAGACGCGCATACCAGTACAAAAAAGGAAGAGTATGTTCAGAAACAATTTATGCGTTTTTTTACATATAAATTTTTAATTTTTTTTGTTGCAATGTTATGAGTTTGTTTGAATCAAAATAAGGCCCTTCCGAATGACATCGCAATATGTATATGATGCATATATGTATCATAAATGATGTTTTTGTAGGCTGATCTTTTGGAATTAGATACAGGCGTCCGTTTTGGAGTATTAAAATTTTTGCTATGGTTTTTATAACAAATTAAGGAATCAATGCTTACGCAACGTTGCACAATATATAGACGAGCAAGAACTGCAAGAAAAATTTTCTGAGGACGTATTAAGGTCTTTAATAATAAAAGACTTGAATGAAGGTGACAACCAACATATATTAGCAGAACTAACAGTTTATTTCCGGTAACTAATAAATCTAACTATTTAAAGACTACTAAAAGACTTCACGCGACAATGTCGCTTTGGTGGTAACAAGATATTAATGAAAGATAAACAATCGGTGCCTTATTTTTTTTATCGTTTTTAGATAGCTAACAAAATGTCAATTGCATTTAAACCGCAAAACAATAAACGGTTTCCACACATCGTTACCAATTTTCGATTGTTGATTTGCTGAATAGAAGAAGAGGAAGGAAAAGCTTAAACTGTAAATCTGGCATCTCAAATAACAATAAGTATCATTGCCTAGTGAGTGTTTCAAATAAATAAACAATATTTTCCATAAGAATAAAAGTGATTTTAGCCAATATATAACTTTTTATAATGTCGGAAAAGATTGGTAATCCTTACATGGATATGGACAGCGGTAGTTTTGATGCTGAAACATATCTTGAAAAACTGCTTAAAGTAAATGATTCATAACTTTCAATAGCATCAATGTTTTTTTTTGATTACTTGGACTCTTCCCTTATTCAGGATTGTTCCCTTAAACAAATAATGGATACAGAAGCAGCTGTCGTTAAAGATACGCAAACGCTTCACTCGGATATGCAAACCTTGGTTTATGAGAACTATAATAAGTTCATTTCAGCTACCGATACTATACGAAAAATGAAAAACGATTTTAAACAAATGGAAACTGATATGAATTTGTTAAAGGATAAAATGTCTACAATAACTAGTTTTAGTGAACAAATCACCGGTACTTTGCAGGGTACCAGATCTCAATTGTGTAAATTATCTGAGAAACATTCATTATTAAAACGTTTACAATTTCTGTCCTCATTGCCGGCTAAACTGAAAGCTTTAATTGAGGAGAAAAATTATGCGCAGGCTGTTCAAGATTACACACACGCCCAAAAAGTGTTTAAACAATACGGTTATCAGCCCTCTTTTGAAGGAATACAAAGTGATTGTGATTCCATCATTCACAATTTAAAGAAAAAATTAAGGCAGGAATTTCAAACGGGAAAATCTGCGCAAATGCTAACTGAAATAGGGGAATTGTTACTGCAGCTCGATGAACGTGCCCCCGATATGGCCACCGAAATGCTGAATTGCGCCTCCAAACGTCTGCATGATCAAATTGTTATGCTCCAAGATCAAACCGAACGAGATATGATAGAATTTGTTGACATGGGCATAGAAGGATTCCTTAATGATCTTACTCTAGTTATAACATCTTACTATGATATGTTTGTGGCCAAACACTATGAAAATGAACGAGATGATTTTCAAGAGCAGGCTTTGAAGGATCTTAATACATTTCTAAATCTGAATATAGACATATATTTAAATTTAGTCCAAGATCGTGTCGAATCTGATATAGGTTTTGGTGACACTCAAGTAATGCTCAGAGCTTTAGATCGTTTACATCGCCGTCTTTTGGCAATGCGTAATATATGTCGCGGCATTGACATTCAACGCAATACACTAGATATAATTATAAACGCCGCCCATCAACTTTGTGAGGCTCATCAAAAAAACCTGAAGGATCATTTCGCAGACAGTTTAAGCTCTGTACGTTTATCGTTAGTGTCAGCGAAGAGTGATTCAGCTACAGGTTCCAGTCTAAACGATTTGATTACTAACTTATATGTTTCATTAATAGAGAAAGTTAAAGGAATTCTGCAGGATTTGTTAGTATTCCTGCAGACAGAATGGTCATTTAATATTAAATCGGGATATAAAGGTACCTTATGTGTAGAAAGTATTAGAGAGAATTTATTAATTGGTTTCTTGAGGCATATTGCGAAAGTGATGAATTCATTTGGTGATACTTCAAGTTCAAGCCCACCTAACTTGTTACTGGTTCTTTCGAAAACATGCTTAGAAATGGAGCAGAATGGTGTACACGTTTTGGTAAGTAACCATATGACTTGTGGCAAGATTTGTCTCCTGATTGATTTATTGGTTCTTTCTCAGATTACTCTAGTAGACGATTTATATGAAATCGATTCGGAAAATAGTGCGACATTAACTCACGAAACTGAGATTTGTTCCGAAATGCGCGAAACGGCTCAATCGCTATTAGATACATTCGTACGTCTACAAGGATTAAATATCTCACAAATGTTACGCAAAAGCGTTGAAACTCGCGATTGGCTTAATTGTTTAGAACCTCGTACGGTTCGAGCGGTAATGAAACGTGTGGTCGAAGAATTGGCGACCATCGAAAATGTTGTAGCCAGCTTATATGATTATACTGGAACTGCACGAACCCATGAGGCCAGCAGTGATTCGAGTCGTAAGACACATTTTAGCAACTTAACAAATTCCAAGCAGCAATTCCGTTCAAATTGGTCCAATTACACACCATCGCAATTAGAACCCAGTTATGTGTCCAATATCCACCGTTTGTTTTCAGAAAAAATTGACATTTTTACTTCTGTGGAATTCTCGAAAGTGTCGATAGTTACCGGTATTATAAAAATTAGTTTGAAGGTAAGTTTTTATATTAACTTAACTTTCGTAACACGGAAATCCCATCTTCGGTTGTGTGAGCACAATTAAAGACATTAGATTATCATCCCTTCTGATTTATATTATAGTAGTTCTTGTTTGCAAACGATTTACAGACTTTACTCGAATGCGTCCGACTACGCACCTTTAGCAAATTCGGCTTGCAACAAATCCAGGTTGATACTCATTACCTACAAATGAACTTATGGCGTTTTGTTAAAGATGAAAAGTAAGTTGAATAAATTTAAAAATAAATGTATTTTCCGTTTTCATTTATAACATTTTGTAGCTTATTAAATTTTCTTCTGGAGGAAATTCTGGGCTCTGCTGTTCATCGTTGCCTTGAATCTACCCTCATGGAGCCCAATGCAGTCGAGATTATCTGTGAACGGGGTTAGTAGATACTTTTGACCTCTCTCTGTCTATCTAAAGGACTAAAATTCTGTGCAATATTCCGATTTTCTTTATTAGTTTAAACTATTCAATATCTTTTCTTTTTTAAACCATGCTTAGCGTAACGGATTAATAAAAAGAGTAATACTTGATCTATAATTCGCTTGCGGATATTATCTTTAGTCGGGTTTTATCATCGGTTATTGTGGGCAATTCTGCCAATCGCAATCAATACATTGTTAATGGATAAATAAGAAAGTCTTTTAAAGGTTTCAATTTATCTCTTTTTGAACATTTTTTACTTGGAAATACCGTTTACATATCGTTATAGGCAGGCGATTAAAACCAATACGCACGCGCACTTGTTTGGTTCCTATTTTCTTTATGTGACTTCGAAAGTTTACGGACAACAACTTGATGCGTTCACGTTGTTTGAAATTTATCAAAAATATTTCTAGTTATTACAAGCAGATTGTTATTAAAAATGGAACGAATCAGTAAAAACACTTGTCTATCATGTAACATAAGCTGCTTATGCTTTCTAAGTTAATCGTTGAACAGAAATTAAAGTATCGTAAAGCTACGAAGAGACTTGTTTTAAAAGTGGGCTCAGCACAGAAACACCAGTTACCATAAACTGTCTATTGCAAATTAAGACACCGGCTATTGTCGATGTTACTAAACGATTTCGATTTTATTTTTATTTTTTTCATATTATTCAATGGTCGCCTGAAGAGTGAGTATAATTCGGGTGCGTAAGCATCGTTGTGGACGCATTTTCTTGCGATGTAGATGTGTATTGATAAGGGAATGGAAAATTTTCATGGAAAGAGGAGACCTTGCTATCGAAAGTACGTGTAGTATTATGAACACAAAGTTTATCTTGGCGGCAAATATCACAAACATTAGAATCTTTCGAGCCCGCAAGACTTTTTTCATGACCCAGTATATGATGTTGAAAAGCTGCAACTCCACATATAACTTCCGCGCATGTGTCGCATAGACATTGCTCTTTAATATGAGCCGTTAATTCACCTGCAGTGTTGAACCTAAACGGACCACTATGAACGAAATTGTTTTCAAATTGATAAACAGCTTACTTTCTACTGCAGCTTTTGCAAGTATTTGTGGGATCACCATGAGCAACCACTTTATGTAATTGTAACAAGTATACGGTAACAAATTTGTTAGAACATTGTGAACATGCAAAAGGTTTATCTTCCTTCTTTTGATGAATCATAAGAAAATGATTACGCATGGACTTACGGTCCGGAAAAACAAGACTACATTTCTCACATCTAGAAAAAAAAAAAACGATTATTTAACGTTTTCCTTAAAAATGTATTTACTTGCTTGTAACAAGCAGGGTTTAGGTGTGTGCGTATATGCTCAGCAAGTAAGCCACGTTCAAAAAATTTTCTATTGCAACATCTCATATAACCCTTCATTAATAAAATTAAATATTTAAGGATTTTAAAGATCATGTAAATGAAATAAATTAAGATACCTTCATATTATGCTCAACACGCATATGGCCTTTAAGAGCTGTGAAATTTTCCACCTCTACACTACATAACTCGCAATGCAACGGCATAAACTTGGCGATCTCTTCGTCAACAGCCAGACAAGCATTTTTGTGATCGCTATGGCCCACTAGCTCATGTTGCCGCAGCAAATACATTCTAACAAACTTCTTTGGACATCGAGAACAAGAAAACATTTTATCTTCGTCTTTTTGATGTTTGATTAGCAAATGATTGCGCATAGAATTGCGATCGGCAAAAACACGATTACATGGTTCGCATCTAAATGGAAAGGACGGAAGTAAAGTCAGTTTAATTGAAAAACTCTCACATTTCTCACTTCAGACTGTCAGGATTTGAATGCTGTCGTATATGGTCAATTAGCAAAAATCGCGACGAAAATCTCCTATGACAACATCGGGCGTAACCTTTGATTTTATGTTCGGTGAGCATATGACTTTGAAGAGCGCTAAAGTTTGCAACTTCCAACTTGCATCGCTCACATTGTAGTTTCATAAACTTAGCGATCTCCTCATCGATAGCCAAACTTTTGGGATCTTCAAGGGGTTTTTTCACTTTTGTCTTTTTTGAATCATTGTTTTCGTTTTTTCTCAATTTTCTTGTACATTTTTCATTTGCATTCCGTGGTAATTTGGGCGAAGCATGTTTCATTCTAATCGTTCTTGCAGACTTGACAGATTTTTCCTTTTTTGATAGTTTAGTACTTTCTCTTTTGCTGCCAATTTTTGTTTCCTCGCTATTAAATGGGTCGCCATCGTCATCATCAAATTTTTCATCTTTGTAATTAATGACATTCCTAACTTCTTCCGCAGCATTAGTGCTAAAACGTTTGTCATTGAAATCGTTTTCTTTTAAAAGTAATGATGGATTATTATCCGCCTCATCTATTGGCATCTCGAAAGGATCCTCATCATTGGATTCGTTCAAATCATCATTGGGCTCAAGTTTATTTGAAAAAGGAATCGATTGAATCATAACATTTTCTATGGAATGCTCTACATTATTGTTTTCTAGTTTCACTACGACATTCTCGCCTAAATTGCTCTGAGCTTTCTCAACACTTTTATAGAACTCATGGAAATCAGAGACTTTAAGCCAACAATTATTACAAATTACTGTTGATATTTGATCGTTTTGTTGGAGCTGCAGAACAGAAGAAAACTTTTTTATTTTCTTTGCGGAAATAGTCGAAAATTATTTACCTCAAACCAAAAATATTTTGCAATTATTGAGGCCATATCCAGTTTGGACTCCGCCGCATCAAAGACGCTTTTAAATTCATTAACTTCTTTCAAACACAAGCGACAAATCATTCTTAGTTC